GAGATAAATATTTTAAAAAAATTTTTTTTTTTAATTTTTAAAGGGATAATTCAAACTTCTAAGATAACTTTTTCTAAGGATTTTTAGCTGTTAGACATTCTCTGTGAAGTTTATAAAAAGAATTATTCAAAGCTGAGAAGTTTATAAGGATGGCTATAATTTATTGATTTGTATGTTTATATTTTTACAAACTGCTGGTCTACTTATATCAGATCTAGATATTCAGGTCTTTAAAAGGGAGTGCCTGGGTGGCTCAGTCAGTTGAGTGGCTGACTCAGTTTTGTCTCAGGTCAGGGTTTCATGATTTGTGAGTTTGAGTCCTCATGTTGGGCTCTGCACTGACAGTGCAGAGCCTGCTTGGGATTCTCTCTCTCCACCCCCTCTGCCCCTCCCCAGCTCATGCACAGGCTCACACGCTTTCTCTCTGTCTCTCTCTCTCTCTCTCTCTATCTCAAAATAAATAGCTTAAAAAAAAAAGTACCTTATACATTCCCTGTTTTAATCAGTTCATCTTTTGGCTATTTGTAAATGAGCCTACCCTGTGAAAATATAAACATTATTAATGCTCAGATTAGTCGTTAAATTTCTCTTACTTGAAAAGAAGTCAGTAGACAAAAAACAGATGTCTAAAGTATTTAGTCATCTGTGGTGTAGGTATCTTGTTTTTACAGTTTTTCTCTTTTTGTATTATTCAGCTCAGAGTTTATTTGCGAACATCAAATCTGGACAATGCCTTTGCTCACATCACCAAAGCACAAGCAGAAACATTACTGCTCAGTGTCTTCCGGGACATGGTAATAGTATTTAGAGCCGACTGTTCAATATGCCTTTACAGTATTGAAAGAAAATCTGATGGGTAAGTATATAGCATGTGACAAGTCACTTTCTGCTTTTGTGTATTATGTCTCCTCTGTAGTTTTTATTTTCTTAAAAGTTATTCTAATTTTGCATTTCGTTTCCTTTGTTTTAGAAGTTAAAAAAGTAAGAAATGCTATGCTTAGTGATGTTCATGTGGTTATTTTTTAGCCACCTAAGTAAATAAAAGAGCCTGCACTAGCTTCTTCAGCTGATCTTACTGGATTTATTTGGAAAAAAAAAAAAAAAGAAAAATCTAGTTTGGGATGGGGTAACTTCGATACAAGGTTTTTTTCACAGCCTTGAAAACAAGTGGTTACCAGCGATCCTAAAGTTCTAGACACTTGGGGAAATTTAACACTGGCTTCAAGCCTTAGGAAGAGTGTCCTTTGCCAACTCACATAATTTCCCCCGAGCTAGATGGCTGTAGACTGTAGCGGGAAATGCTGTGCGTCCCTGTTGCTGTTGTGTGTTGCCTGTATTCTTCTTGGTATATGGTTGGCTTGCAGCACTTAGACCCCACCTCTTGAGTTTCATTTTAATTTGTGATGTGTATTTGTTTCTTTTTTAAAATAGTCGTGAAGTGTGTATTTGCTGAAATAGCTTAGTGATTGAGGAATACTGTAAAGATAAGAATTAAGAAATTTTACCAGCCTCAGATAGAACCCGTATCCTTTCTCAACTAACTAAGCTATTCCTATTTTTGTTTCCTAGTTTCCTTTCCTAATTTTCCGAGGTCTTTCTCTCCTTCTTTCCTTTCTTTCTCCCTCATTTCCGTATGTGTTTTTTGTATATGTCAACCTCACCAGTCTACTGCTTAAAGGATATTTGGGGAGGAGGGAATGAGAAGGAGAAGGCATTTGGATCACCCATAAGCATGAAATCTACTACTGTTAATAGCGGACAAGAAAGGAAAACAAAAAACTCGTTAGCCTTCACGTTGAGGTGTATTTTTCTCTTTTTTTGCAGTCCCACCACTACAGCTGGTATTCAGGTTCTTCAAGAAGTCTCCATGTCGCGCTACATTCCTCACCCTTTCCTTGTGGTGTCTGTCACTCTGACATCAGTGAGCACAGAGAATGGGATCACCCTGAAAATGCCACAGCAGGTACCGTTCCCTTGTCAGAGCTTTCTAGAGTTTCATCTCGGTTTATAGCATTTCAAGGTGATACCAGCAACTATTTATTTGTTTAGCAAATAAATATTAAGTGTCTAACATGTCCTTCTATGGAGATACTGGGTTATAGTGGCAAACTAAACAAACTGGGATTTTGTTCAGACAATCCAGAAGTAATTGTGTACATAATTAATTACAGTTGTGATACAGATACCAGAAAGTAGTATAGGTCACCCTGAGAGTATATAACAAAAACCTGGAATAGTCTAGATAGAGATTTCTGTACCATTTAAATTGAAACCCAAAGGGTGAGTGGTAGTTCTCTAAGAGTAGGAATTTGAGGTCAGTGAGAAGAGTAGCGCAGAGGCCCACAGGTAGGAGAGAAGCTTACACACTCAGGGAATTGGAAGAACTTCAGAGTGAGTGGACTTTATCTTAAAGTCTGGCTGTATTAGGAAGTCTATAAAGTATCTTAGGCTGGATATTATTAGATCTAAGCTTTGTAATGTTCAGTCTAACCGTAAGAAGGAGAATGAACCAGAGTGGGACAAAACTGGGTATAGGGAGAGGAGCCGAGAGGCCCTTATAACGATCTAAGTGGAGGGTGCTAGTGACCCAAACTTGCCAGTGAAAAAGATGGAAAGAAGTGGAATGAACATAAAATACAAACGCATGATTAGTCAACTGTAAGGAAAGAGAAAACATAATGCCTTAGTTTGTGATTAAACCGACATTTTAAACTTCCTATTCCAAGTTTCCTTCTTCTTAAAAACTTTTTTAATGTTTATTTACTTTTGAGAGAGAGAGAGAAAGTGCAAGCCAGGGGAGGGGCAGAGAAGGGGAGACACAGAAGCAGAAGCAGGTTCCAGGCTCCGAGCTGTCAGCACAGAGCCCGACGCAGGGCCTGAACTCACAAACTGCGAGATCATGACCTGAGCCGAAGTCGGACCCTTAACCAACTGAGCCACCCTGGTGCCCCCAAGGTTCCTTCTGTTACACAAATGGTTTCCAAAGTTTGTGTCAATGTGGAACTCATTTTCAAAGGAAAACTCTATGTAGATTTATTTGTCATCTCTGTCTTCTTAGTCTTTTATTTCCCATTAAGGCACTTCCATTCATCTTCTTTAAAATCTAGATCCCATTTCCTCTGCAGACTATATTTCATGATAGCCAGAGAATCATAGTAATAAGGAAAAGTTCTATTTTGCAGAAGAATTGAAGCTGAAAGATGTGAAAGGAAGGTAAGAATTATACAATCACCATTTTGTAGCCCCTGTGGAAATAACTGATTTAGACAGTGATCAGGTGAAAGGTTGATGGGGTATTTCACAATGAGGAGATGAGGTGGCCATATCTAAGTCTTATTAATCCACGTTAGCATGACTACAAGTGGGAGAACCAGGTGTAGTATGCTTCCCCGGGGTGATGCAACATTAGTTCACATGAAGAATTGTACCTGAATTCTGAGCTAAGCTTCTAGAGTCAAGTTCCATTCATAGGAAATACAGGAATAGAGGTTTAGTTTATCACCACAAGGAAGCAGAATGTAGAACATTCTATAGGAATGTGGGGGAACAAAGTAAGGGGAGACTCTTCTAAAGAATTCTTTACAACTGTAACAATCAAATGTAGTGCTAAGTTCATTTGTATCCTGATTCGAACTGGCTATAAAAAGACACTATTGGGGCACCTGGGTGGCTAAGTTAAGGGTTCAACTTTGGCTCAGGTCATGATCTCATAGTTCATGGGTTCAAGCCCCGCGTCGGACTCTGTGCTGACAGCTCAGAGCATGGAGCCTGCTTTGGATTCTGTGTCTTCCTCTCTCTGCCCCTCCCCTGCTTGCTTGCACGCATGCTTTCTCTCACGCTTGTGCGCGCGCGTGCGCTCTCTCTCTCTCTCGCTCTCTCTCGCTCTCTCAAAAATAAACATTAAAAAATTTGTTTTAAAAAGACACTGTAAAGCAATTAGAGATACTTGATATCCACTCAGGTGACATTAAGGAATACCTGTAGATTTTATTAGATGTGGTGCTGGCATTATGATTATCTAGACAAATATCCAAGTACTTTGGAGATGCATCGTATAGGGGTAAAATAGCATATCTTCCTTTAAAATACTTTGGCATAATAAATGAAAAAAAAGGATGGATGGAGCAAATGTGGCAAATCTTGAATAACTGAATTTGGGTGATGGGAATCTTGGGGTTCGTTGTACTATTCTCTATGCTTTTGATTACATTTGAAGTTTTCGTATGAAGGAAGATAAAGGGACTCCTCGTAGTTCCCAGATACAGCATGCAGTCAGTGGCGCCAGCAATACTGGGTACCACATTTAAGAAGACGTTTCCAACAGACACATGAAAAGACGCTCGACATCATTCATCATCAGGAAATTATAGAACCACAGTGAGCCATCACCTCCCGCCTGTCAGAAGGGCTAAAACAAAAAACACAAGAAACAATGTGTGTTGACAAAAGATGTAGAGAAAAGGGAACCTTCATGTGCTGTTGTTGGGAATGCAAACTGGTGCAGCCACTGTTAAAGACAGTACAGAGATTCCTTAAAAAGTTAAAAATAGAACTACCCTATGGTCCAGTAATCACACTACTGGGTATTTACCCAAAAAAATACAAAAACACTAAGAGGAGTATGTGTACCCCCATATTTATTGCAGCATTATTTACAATAGCCAAACTGTGGAAGTATCCACTGTGATAGATGAATGGTAAAGAAGATGTGATATATACTATGGAATATTACTCAGCCATAAATGAAATCTTACCATTTGCAAAAACATGGATGGATCTAGAGAATATAATACTAAGTGAAATAAGTCAGGGAAAGACAAAAACCATTTGATTTCACTCATATGTGGAATTTAAGAAACAAAACAAATGAGCCAAGGAAAAAGAAACCAAGAAACACTCTTTTAAAAAAAAAATTTTTTTTTTTAAATGTTTATTCATTTTTGAGAGACAGAGAAAGGCAGAGCATGAGCAGGGAAGGGGCAGAGGCAGGGAGACACAGAGTCTGAAGCAGGCTCCAGGCTCGGAGCTGTCAGCACAGAGCCCGACGCAGGGCCTGAACTCACAAACTGCGAGATCATGACCTGAGCCGAAGTTGGACGCACGACCGACTGAGCCACCTAGGCACCCCCCAAGAAGCAGACCCTTAACTGTAGAGAACAAACCTGATGGTCACCAGAAGGGAGATAGGTGGGGGATGGGTGAAATACACGACAGGGATTAAGGAGTGCACTTGTGATGAACACCTGGTGATGTATGGAAATGTTGAATTCGCTATACTGTACACCTGAAACTAATATAACACTATGTTAATTGGAATTTAAAAAGTTAACAAAGAGGGCCTTTCACAAAGGGAAGAGATCTAATGTGGTAAAGAGCAGATTAAGAAGTTGAAATGTAGTAGGAAATAGACTGATTACTCCTTGCACAGAGGGAAGACCAAGATTGCTACAGCAAGGCATGTCTTGATTCAATATTAAAGATTAAAGAAACCCCAACAACGAAAACTGTTTAAAAACAGTGAGATGGCCTCCCTTAAGAGAGGGGCTCCTTGTCTCTGAAGCTCCTAAGAAGAATCATCTGCCAGAGAGTTTTTAGGGTAAGGGATGGTATGTTTGATTCTTTCAAATTTGGCATTTGGGAGATACATGTAGTCCCTGCTTTTATGTTAAGTTTCTGAAAAGCTTATTAAAATTGCTTGAAAGTGCTGTTGCAGTCATCTGTTCTTACATATTGTAGTATAGAAAATGTTGAATGCATGGATGCGAATGAAGTTAAGAGAAATGGTTGCATTTGTTTCGTGAGGTAATGTAAACTGTAGTGAAATTTGCCCATTTTAACACTCCACAATGGTCATTGTGAACATTAGTCATGTTGTGGTGAATTGCAGTAGGTCCTCCTAAGAAGTGTTACGGAGTTTCTGTGCCAGTCCCTGGGCCCACTGTTCTGATTCTTGGGACTGCATCTTCATTTTTCTTTGTCCTCTGCGGTCAAGCTCTTACAGTTGCCACGCATCTTTTAATTTCCATTTTTCCTTCTCCTACCTCCATGTTATATGTTGTTTCTCATGTGTTATGGAAAGATAATCCAGTTTTTAGTTGTCATGTCTTTCTGTGCTAAATTGAGAACCACAACTTCTTTCCAAGTAAAGTTCTCAGTCTTTGTAGCACTTGTTTGGAGATACTGTCTTTTTATTTTTTTAATTTCTACTTTTTTGTAAATCAACAGCATTTCTTTTCTTTTAAGTGTTTTATTTTTATTTTTGAGACAGAGAGAGCAGGGGAGGGGCAGGGAGAGAGAGGGAGACAGAATCTGAAGCAGGCTCCAGGCTCTGAGCTGTCAGCGGAACCCGATGTGGGGCTGGAACCCATGAATAGTGTAGCAAGATCATGCCCTGAGCCGAAGTCGGATGCTTAATCGGCTGAACCAGTTGAATTATGCGTCCCAATAATAGTTCTTATTACATTTATTTTCTACCTGGACACAGTCTGAAGAAAAAGTGAGTGACAAAACCCATGAATCTCCTGGACCGTCTTGCCATTTCTTATACGCAGTCCCTGTAGTGTCGGAAAGCCAGTACAAAAGAGCGTTTGGAGTAACTGCTTTGCAATAGCATACGTAGGGTGTCTGTGCTGTTTTTCTGACTGGACCCTAAATAATAACGACAGCTTAAATTCATCCTGTCGGCAGGCCTCAAGCTGGGATGCAATCCCACCCGTTCCTTCCTAAAATTCTTCCCTTCTCTGGTGTGTGTCACGCTGTGCTCCTCTGTCCCTTCTGGCCACCGGCTGCTTTCCAGTCCTGCATCCTTCGCTTGAGGAAGCTCGTCCGCTTCCTTCACTTCACCAGCTCACTGTGGTTCTGGCGTGCTGCTCTGAACTCCGTTCCTCTCTGACCACACTTTTACTTGCAAGTCTTCAGGTTCTTTCACGTTTATTTAACGAGCGATGAAATTAAACCGTTCAATTTTCCCTTCCTTATTACCTTCTCCTTGTAACTTGTCAGTGGTACCTGGCACTTCCCCTAGGTGTGACAGCCTGAAATCTTCTTTGATTCAGTTCTCTCTTTTCCTGCCTTTCATATCTGTGGTGTCTGTGAGTTTTTGTTTTTTGGTTTTTTTTGACGGGGGGGGGGGGGGGGAGGTTTGGTAAATCAAAATACTAAAATGCTCTTCCTCTTTACAAGTGAAAACATCTTGATATCTGAGATTTCGCTGTAAAACAATGCTTTTCAACCTTCAGCCAGGTGAGAGGGTTTTTAATGGGGAGTCCTACTTTAGGATTCGATTGAAATGTTCCATAATGAAAAGGCAGACTGTTTCATTCACTCCTGAAGTTAACACCCATGATGTCTGCCAGTACCTCAGAATTTTTTTACGTTTATTTTGAAAGAGGGAATGTGAGCAGGGGAGGGGCAGAGAGAGAGGGAGAGAGCGAGAATCCCAAGCAGGCTCTGCACTGTCAGCACGGAACCTGACATAGGGCTTGAACCCACAAACTGTGAGATCATGACCTGAGTCGAAATCAAGAGTCATATGCTTCACCGACTGAGCTGCCCAGGTGCCCCTGGATAATGGATAACTCAGAATTTTTAATAACTCTCTTACTTAAGAATCATAAGTAGTGGCTTATTTTCTGCCTTGTTTTTAAACCTGGCTTTCCAAGCCCTCCTTGAAGGTCTCTTTTATGTTTTTCCCATAATATTCCTAATCTAGTCAGATTGTTCTCATTTTCCCAAAAGAAATGTTCTGTCTCGGTGTCATTCACGTGATGTTCTTCATCTGGAGAACCAGCCCCTTCCCTTTCTCCCGGGTGTCCTCACCCTTCAAGCCCGTTTCTCCCTGTAAGCCTTCTGTGGCTGTGCCAGCGAGGTCACTGAAAGGTCTCTCACATTTATGAGCTTGTGAAATTCTCCTCATTTTATCAGGATAATTCAGCTCTGCCCTCAGTTTTACATTCATTTGTACTGTTCCTGAATTGCAGTGTGGTCGGTTATACCCTGGCCAGAAAGCAGCCTGTTCTCCACATTGCCCAGCAGAACTGCTGTGCACGGTGCACACTCCGTAAACACTGTTGGTGGTTTCACCTGTAAACCGTATAGATTGGGGGGGGTGGGGGATGCTGCAGACCTATGGATTAGCATGACTTCAGTTTTTCTTTCAGGCTCGCGATGCAGAGAGCATTATGCTAAATCTCGCAGGACAGCTCATCATGATGCAGAGGGACAGATCGGGGCCTCAGATCCGGGAGAAGGACAGTCACCCTAACCAAAGGAAGCTTGTGAGTAAAATAAAAGTCGTTTAGAACATTAAGGATGAAGGGATAAAATAACTTAAGAGGAGAGTATTGTCTTGTGACTTGGAAACTGGAAGACGTGTAATATCAGCCTTTAAGTTTCTAGGTAGAAGACTGTTTGCCAAGGGTAAATAAGAACGTTTTGCAACAATTATATGTTCCATGCTCCCGATGGTAACGCTTAGGCATTATTATTTGCTAATTCTAATGGGAAAGTAGGATAAATTGATGAAGAGTGTGGGGTCTTTGGGTTTTGTCTTGATTTTAGATTTAAATACACATACTTTGAAAGGAAGGAAGGTACCCTCATTAACTCTAATTCTAAATAGAGTCCCCTAATTTTCCCAAAAGAAGTTGTGCTGTCATTTTGAAAGACTTCAGAAACTGGCACCTAGGAACTTCAGAATGTGCAGATTTAGTAGGAAGACGATTGATTCTGGTCTTTGCTTTTGCAGCTGCCATTCTGTCCTCCCGTTGTACTGGCCCAGTCTGTTGAAAATGTCTGGACCACGTGCCGAGCAAATAAACAAAAGCGTCACCTTCTGGAGGCCCTGTGGCTGAGCTGTGGAGGTGCAGGGATGAAAGTTTGGCTCCCTCTCTTCCCCAGGGATCACCGCAAGCCCCATTCCTTCTTGTCCCAGCGGATCATGCTGCCTTTCCACATCAATATTTACCCCCTGGCTGTTCTGTTTGAAGACGCGTTAGTCCTTGGTGCTGTCAATGACACTTTGCTCTATGATTCTTTGTACACGCGGAACAGTGCTCGGGAACAGCTGGAGGTGCTCTTCCCTTACTGTGTCGTGGAGAGGACCTCCCAGATCTACCTCCACCACATTCTGCGTCAGCTGCTGGTCAGGAACCTTGGGGAGCAGGCCTTGCTCTTGGCCCAGTCCTGCGCTGCATTACCTTACTTCCCTCACGTGCTGGAGCTCATGCTCCACGAAGTGCTGGAGGAAGAAGCTACCTCACGGGAACCCATTCCCGACCCTCTGCTTCCCACTGTGGCAAAATTCATCACCGAGTTCCCCCTCTTCCTGCAGACGGTTGTTCATTGTGCCAGGAAGACTGAATATGCCCTGTGGAATTACCTTTTTGCAGCCGTTGGAAACCCCAAGGACTTGTTTGAGGAATGCTTGATGGCTCAGGACTTGGACACAGCTGCCTCTTACCTTATTATCTTACAGGTAACACTTCTCTTCTCATAAAGGTACAAGACTTAATGAGCTTAAACTCAGGAGAGAGAAAAAAGAAATATCCTGTGTCGACAATGTTTGTGTTAAAGGGACTGACACAGGCTGGTTCTCTGTTCATTTTATATCTTCTTTTTGAAGAACTTAACCTTCTCAAATGATGTCAGAAAACTTTTTTGAATTTTTTTTTAATGTTTTTATTTTATTTTTGAGAGACAGCGGTGCGAGCAGAGGAGGGGCAGAGAGAGAGGGAGACGTGGAATCTGAAGCAGGCTCCAGGCTCCGAGCTGTTGGCACAGAGCTTGATGCAGAGCTCGAACTCACAGACTGTGAGGTCATGACCTGAGCCAAAGTCAGACACTTAACCAACTGAGCCACCCAGGCGCCCCAGAAAACTTTTTTGAATGTCATGAAGTAATGCTTCAAGGATTTTTTTTTAAGTTTCTTTATTTTGAGAGAGTGCAGGCAGAAGTGGGGCAGAGAGAGAGGGAGAGAGAGAATCCCGAGCTGGATCTGTGCTGCCAGCACAGAGCCCCACTCGGAGCTTGAACCCACAAATTGTGAGATCACGACCTGAGCCGAAACCAAGAGCCGGATGCTTAACCAACTGAGCCACCCAGGTGCCCCTGCAAGATTTTTTAAAAATCCTGTTTGTCCATAAGTAGGCCTGAAACCGATTGAGTTTATGGTATTGTTTTGAATAATATTGTATATTATTATATAGACAATGTAGTAGTATATACTACATATATATAGTATGATACATACAACAACATCTGTTACATAGGAAACGTAATAATAAAGAGTTATCTTTAATATTAGCAGGTTTGGGGTGCCTGGGTGGCTCAGTCGGTTGGGCGGCCGACTTCGGCTCAGGTCATGATCTCAAGGTCCGTGAGTTTGAGCCCCGCGTCGGGCTCTGTGCTGACAGCTCAGAGCCTGGAGCCTGTTTCAGATTCTGTGTCTCCCTCTCTCTGACCCTCCCCCGTTCATGCTCTGTCTCTCTCTGTCTCAAAAATAAACGTTAAAAAAAAAATTAAAAAAAATAATAATAATAATATTAACAGGTTTGGGCTAGTATCGGCTAATTGGAGCTCTTTGAGCCTCCTGCAGGCTCATCGTGTTTCCTCACGTGCGGAATTGCCGAGCGGGACTGTGGCTGCAATGTGGGTCCTGGCAGAGCACCTGTGCTGGGCTCCCCAGAGCAAGCTGAGAAGACTCGGGCCGGCCACAGTAATTACCCTCGCAGCACACGGTTCTTCTCAAATGAAGGACTTCTTTGAGACTCCTGAAAATTGGTTCCACTGTGTGTTTGACAAAAGGGCTTCGCAGTTGTTGTTCTTATCAGTGTCATACGCATTTGACAGGCTGCACTTTCATCGATCTGAGAAGCTGATCATAAACTTGTTTTAAACTCTGCCTGGAGCACATTTCTTGTGTGCTTATTTACTTCACAAGCACTGATCGGAACCAGAGGAAACAGTCCAGTGGAAGCTGGATGGCCCTTAAATTCTGTGATTCCTTGGCTAGCCTAAAAAAAGCCACAGAATGTTAAAAAGAGAAACAAAATAGATGCAGCTGTTTTTTGTTTTAGGTCGCCCCTTAGACTTTCAGTGACCTCCCGAACAATGGAATTGGAAACGTTTTCTCTCCCAGTTCCGTCATTTTTGTGGGTTGTCAGATAATAATTACAGTCAGATTAGCCTTTCCCTGAAGGCCAAGGTAGGCGGTGAGGTTACACCTGTGGAAGAATCACTGAGGCCCACTGTGCAGCAGAACTGCAGACTGTTGCCCAGAGCCACGAGCACTTTTGTCACAGCCTCCACAACCTGCCACGAGAGGTGGGCCTGAGCTTTCTGGAGTCAGGCAAACCCAGATTTGTGTTGTTGCTTTTCGGCTGGTCGTTAAGTTCCTAAACCCTGTTTCCTCATCCGTAAGATGGGAATGGTGTAAGTACTTTGCGGAGTCCGTAGGAACCAGGGAAGAGAGGATGCGGGTCAGGTTTATGGGAGGTATCTGGAATACAGCGGGAGTTTAGAACATCATATTTATAGCACACCAGCCGAGAGCTTGCCTCGCTTTTCCCTGCATCGTCCTTTATATTGGTCCCTTTCTTGTTACTGTTAAACATTCCCCTACAGCATTGTGGCTGCATTCCTTCTCTGGTTCAGAAACGGTGGAGATGAAGAGTTGCTCACACTTCCCAAATAATTTGCCGTACAAAAGGAATGCTTGTCTTTGGTTGTCTTTGTAGAATATGGAAGTTCCGGCAGTAAGTAGGCAACATGCTACCCTTCTGTTCAACACAGCCCTGGAACAAGGCAAGTGGGACCTATGTCGACACATGATTCGATTCCTTAAAGCCATTGGCTCTGGAGAATCTGAGACCCCTCCATCCACACCTACAGCTCAGGTCGGTTGCAGAATTGCACAGCTTCTCTAGACCACACACCTCCATGGCACCTTTCTCTAACTGCACTGCACATCGTGTATGATCACAGGAACCCAGTTCAAGTGGTGGATTTGAGTTCTTCAGGAATCGAAGCATCAGTTTGTCCCAGTCAGCTGAGAATGTTCCTGCTAGTAAATTCAGCTTACAGAAAACACTGAGTATGCCATCCGGCCCTTCTGGGAAAAGGTAAAAGAATAATGAGCTGTCACTGCTGTTAGGGCATTCTGTGGCACATTGCATTTCAGGGCATTTGTAAATTGGATCTTATGAAAACAACCATTTGATCCAAATGCACTTCCTTCTTCCATTTGTGAAAGGCTTGAAGACCACACAGAAGGCCTCCCTTCTTCCTTCCGCCGTATTTCACTTCATTACTTTCTGTACAGTTTCTGTTCCTTGTCCTAGAGGAGGTCCTGTGTCCCCATTCTGAATGCAGGCAACTTTCAATTACCCTGATAATAGAGGACCAGAATAAAAAGGAAGGTAATTAAATCTGCACATAGTCAGAAAGCCTTCTTACAGTCAATACTTTTACCTTTCTTTCCAACTGTACCTCATGCTGAAAAAAATGAAAATTTAGTCCCAATTTACTTGACTCTCCTGTGACTCTTTTGATTGGAGAAGTCATTAAACAGTGGGAGAGCCAAGGGGAAGTGTATCCTGAAGACATAAACCTACATCACACAGAGATGGGTTACTGTCTCCTGAGAGGTAACTGTGAACTCACACTGAACGTTATAAAATAGAATTTCCTCTGGTTTGTGAGGAGGTGCCTGTGTTCCTTCCTCTGTTGTTCCACATTCTCGGCTCTTTTCTCTTCCCTAGTCTTTTCTTTTATATTGTTTTTATGGTTACTACAGTGCCTGACACATAGTGAGAACTGGCTGAACATTTTTTATCATGATATTTTACTGCGTTTTCCTATCACGGCCATTTATGCCACCCTTACTCCCAACATATACACACACAGTCATGGGCTATGTCCAAGTAAAATGCAACCACAGGATACTCTAAACAGTTGCCAGGTGAACAGCAGCTTCTCAGCCATACCCTGAACATAATTACTGGCTAATACATATTAAGTGCTCAGTATGTGCCTGGTTCTAAGCATTTACGTGCATATGTCTTTTCATCCTTACAACCTGTAAGGGTGGACACTGTTGCTAACACACGTTGTAGAGGTGAAGAAACAGAGGCCCAGACTGTAAACTTGGTTATGTTCACACAACTAACTGAGAGGTAGAGCCCAGATCTGAGTCTAGAGTCTTCCAGTGCTGCCTCTCATGAAGATACCACATTACCCAGTTACCAAACCGATCATCCCACATCAGCCCATGTGAGTAGAACTGCATACAGCCAAGCTGCAAAGTTTTAAACATCGGTTGTATGTTTATGTGTCTGCTTATCTCCCATTCCCCTGGAGAGACTTCATGGCGCCTTGCGTCTCCTCAGTTTCTTTGGTCTGATCTCCTTGCCTCTTTTCATTGGTCTCTTCGACTACAGCATGATTTGCTCTCTTTCTTTCCTTCAACCAGTCCCCACCCTCCTCCTGGTTTGGCTGTGTCTGTCTCCTCTTTTTCCTATTCCATACTTCATTCTACAAGTATGTTTTAAAAGTCTGCTGTGTTCCACGTACGTTCGGCAGCTTGTATCACGTGGAGGAAAGCCGTGGTCCTTTATCCTCAGTCAGGCACTTAGATCTGGATCCCTTCCCTCCCTCTCCGCATGATCGTTCCTACCGCATAGAACTACGCGGAGCCCTCCAGGGATGGTTTTTCTGCAGGTTTCTCGTCTTCCCACTTACAGATGGAGCAAAGACAGTGACTGTGCTGAGAACATGTACATTGATATGATGCTCTGGAGACACGCCCGGCGTCTCTTAGAAGAAGTTCGGCTGAAGGACCTCGGCTGCTTTGCAGCCCAGCTGGGCTTTGAACTCATCAGTTGGCTGTGCAAGGAGCGCACCCGAGCCGCGCGGGTGGACAACTTTGTGCTGGCCCTGAAGAGGCTCCACAAAGACTTCCTGTGGCCACTTCCCATCACCCCAGCCTCTTCTGTCAGCTCTCCTTTCAAGAATGGAAAATACCGAACAGGTAACGCAAGCTCGTGTCACTTGGACAAGAGTTGTATTTCACTGCAAGTATCTGGACATTTTGTTTAGTCGATATTCTCGGAAGTCTTTTCATCCCTAAAGTCAGGAACAGATAAAACCAACTTTTTGCACATCATTGGAACATCCACCATTTGACCAGGGATGTAAATAAAGTAGAACTAGGTCTCTAAGTCTTGTGACCTTGAAGTTTAATTTGTAAATCCAGCCACTGTTAACAGATTATCAACAAGTTGAAAACTGGCTGAATATAACTGCTACCACACTTACCTTATTGTGGGAAGTTATGGAATGGGTTAGTCACGGACCTGAAAAGCCAAATTGTGATTTATCTGATAGGACGTTCCAGAGAAGTGGTAAAAATGCATCTTTGAGGACTTGGGCTGTTGTCTAATCTAGGGGAAGACAAAGTGGAACTGTTTTGTTGAAAGAAAAATTAAAAGATAATATATGTTTATTTTTGAGGGAGGGAGAGAAGAAAAAAAGTGCGTGTGCACACACGCGAGTTGGGGAGGGGCAGAGAGAGACAAGGAGACACAGAATCTGAAGCAGGCTCTAGGCTCTGAGCTGTGAGCACAGAGCCTGAGGTGGGGCTCGAAATCCCGAACTGCGAGATCATGACCTGAGCCGAAGTCAGACGCTTAACTGACTGAGCCACCCAGGTGCCCCCCCCTTTTCTTAATTTTTATTTTATTTTTTTACTGTTTTATTTATTTTTGAGAGAGTGAGTGAGTGCAAGCAGGGGAGGGGCAGAGAGAGAGAGAGAGAGACCCAGAATCTGAAGCAGGAGTTCAGGTCTTTTAAAGAAAACTGTTCTAAATCATTATTACTCATGAAAATCCAAACAAAAACCTTTTATTAAGGCATTTGGAAACTTCATCTCATTTTAAGAACCAAGGAAAATCACTTAAAAAATGAACAGAATAAATCCTGTTTAGTGCTGGTAAGAGCCACAGTGAGGGAGACTGTCAGACGGCATTACCTAGTCAATCCGTCCCTTTGGTCCTCGTCCCAGGTTCGTGGGGGTGATGAGTGTAGGACAGTAATTAGCTTTGACCTTTCAGTGTTTGGGAGTAGGGGGGAAGAGAAGCTGAAATAACTCAATTGGCAATGTTACTGCGTGCATCTCGAATTGCCACTTTCTCGTTTTGGGGCCTGCCTTGCGGCAGGAGAGCAGCTGCTGAAGTCTCAGTCAGCGGACCCTTTTCTAAACCTCGAGATGGACGCTGGGGTCTCTACTGTACAGCGAAGTCAGAGCTGGCTCGGCAGCATCGGCCCCACCCACCATGAGATAGACACGGCCTCATCCCATGGACCACAAATGCAAGACGCCTTCCTGTCACCTTTATCTACTAAAGGTACATGTCATTTTAAGTCTCAGCTCTTCACTTTCCTGGGAAGGTTTTTGTGCTTTAGGGCCCCAAATAGAGCCTTACTCCTTCATTATAGGTCCTTGAGGGTCAGTCATGAGAATCTGCTAGAGAGGGGATAGTTACTAGAACAAGGCCCACTGGCCTTAACTATCCTTTGCTGTATTTTAGATGGATAACGCAGGTAAACTGTCATTCCAGGTTAGCGCTGATAACATGAAACTTGGCACTTGATTTTGATGAAACAAACACTAAGCTTGAACTTGAAGTAAGCAGACTGTTACGCTCATGTAAGGAATACCATTCTTGTCATAAGTAGCCTTGGGTCATACAGAATTGTAGTCAGTTATCTTCTAATTTTTATTTTACTGATAAAATTTGTGGAAATTTTCTTGTTCTCTTGTGAGTGTTAATGTAATAGCGTTAATTTTTCCTCCTAGTCTTCAGAGCCTAATAATCTGGCCCTTCACCAGAAACTGAGTGCGGGCATCCATACTGGGGGGGTCGAAAGTTGAAGAAGTTTTAAAATGACTCACGTTGTTGGGTTTAGAGTTACAGGGGTGTGTGAGTAGGAGGTGGTCTGAGTGTTGGCGGTTTTCTTAATGGCCAAGCATTTGCCCGGTGTTTGATTTTCAGTCCGTCCTCACTGTTTCATGAACTTGCTTTTGTGGAGAAGCTTGTGGCTGCCGTTCCTTTTGTTTAAATTGTGGAAGATACACACAGTATGTTCCGTCTCCACCGTTTTCATGTGTAAACTTCAGTAGCGTCGGGTACATTCACATGGTTGTGCAGCCAACCTCCAGAGCTCGCTCGCTCTTCCCGGCTAACATGCGTCCCCAGTGACCCCTCCCCGGTGCTGGCAGCGACCACTGTGGTGTCTCTAGGAATCTGACTACTTTAGATGCCTCTTGTGAGTGGAATCGTACGGTTTCTGTCTTTCTGTGACTCGGGCTTAGTGCACTTTGTCTGACATTCTGAGTTCACCCCTGTGGCAGCGTGTGTAGACCACCACACCCTGTTTATCCGTCCATCTACCCTGTCCTGGGCACGGGGCTGCTCTGACTTCATGGTTCCTGTGAACAAGGCCGCAGCGGACGTTGAGCGTGCACTGGCTCTTCAAGATACGGCTCTCAGTTCTTCTGGGCCAGAGTGGGGTGCCAGGTCACAGGGTTACTACTCTTGAGCTTTTGAGCAACTGTCGACCCGCCAGCATTGACAAAGCATTCCAGTTTTTTTGTCTACCAATGCTTGCTTGCTTGCTTGCTTTTTTAAAGCATTCCAGTTTCTTGACATCCTTGCCAACGATTTTATTTTCTGGGCCTTTTTTTAAAATGGGGACATGAGGTAGTGTCACTGCTTTTTTAAGAAAAGTTTTTAAAGAGATCATTTCAAATTTAAAAATTAGAGATAATAGTATAATGGAACCTTTGCCTCCCCGCTGCCATGTGTCTGTTACCCAGCTTCTGTTATTAATTCATGACCAGATTTGTTTGAGCCACTTTCCCTTTCCTGTATTATTGAACCAAATCCAAGACGTGCCATTTTTTATCTTTGAATATTTCAGTATGTACCTTTAAAAGGAATCTTTAAAAAAACAAACCCATAATGCCATTATCATTCCTCTTACAATTTAACAGTAATTCCTTAAAACCATCAAATGTCCAGTAAGTATTTAAATTCCAGTTGTTTCCTAATGTCATAAATATTTTTACGGTTAGGACCAAGATCCAGGTGAGAGGGTCAGACATTGTGATTAAGTTTTCAGCTCTTTAAAAACTGATTTTTCTCTCCCCATCCTTTTTTTTTTTTTTTTTTTTTTTTTTTTTTAAACCCTTTGCAGTATTTTCATTGATGAAACTTGCTTCTGTGGATTTTCTCAAAATGTGGACTTTGGTGATTGCTTCTTCATTGCTCGACCCTCTCCTCTGTATTTTTTGTAAATTAATAATTGTATCTAAAGACCGATCAGATTCTGGCTCGATTGGTTTTGGAGGCAGGCAAGACTACTTCACAGGTGGCGGTTGTGTTTCTCTGTGCCTGGGTCGCTCTCTAATGAATTTTTTTTTAATATCTACTACTGTTAACATAACATGGGAGTTTTAGCAGTGGATTTAATGTTTGGCTTTGAGAATTCCGAGCAGAAATCCACATGTGAGGAACTGCTAATATTTCAAATTGAACATTTTCTTCATGAAGCTAGTTCGTAACTTTCGGTCCTTTCTCATCAGGTGATGAATGCAGTATTGGTTCAGCCACAGATTTGACGGAAAGTAGCTCCATGGTGGACGGAGACTGGACAATGGTGGATGAAAACTTCTCCACACTCAGTTTAACTCAGTCGGAGCTGGAGCACATCTCCATGGAGTTGGCCAGTAAGGGGCCTCATAAATCCCAGGTCCAGCTTCGGTGAGTTTCTCAGTTTTTCAGAAGCCCAGAACGCCTACTCAGCGTGTTTGGGCATATAGCGTACAGGAGCTCCGTTCCTGATGACGATTCCCGTCTCCATCTGCGGCTTCTTAGTGTCGATCTTTGTGTTTCTTCTCATGCATAGGTACTTGCTGCACATGTTCATGGAGGCAGGGTGTCTAGACTGGTGCATCGTCATAGGCCTGATTCTCCGCGAATCCTCAGTAATCAGCCAGATCCTGCTGCTCATCCAGTCTTCGGAGGTGGATGGAGAGATGTTACAGAACATAAAGACAGGGCTACACGCGGTAGACCGATGGGCCTCTACGGATTGGTAAGTGTGGGGCTCCTTAGGCTTGTTACCTCTGCTGTCCTGGGGTGGGCCCTGCCCCTTCCGAGTAAGGTTTAGTTCTGCTAAATTTATTTGGAGATTTTTAGGTTGGTAGAAATAAAAGTGCTTTCACACATTCATTTCTGTTCACTTTTTTTTATGTGTATTTATGTTGAGAGAACGCGCCAAGGGAGGGACAGAGAGAGAGGGAGACACAGAATCCGAAGCAAGCTCCAGGCTCTGAGCTGTCAGCACAGAGCCCGACACGGGGCTCGAACCCACGAACCATGAGATCATGACCTGAGCTGAAGTCGGATGCTTAACCGACTGAGCCACCTAGGTGCCCCTAGTTAATTTTGAGAGGGGGAGAGAGTGCCAGCGGGGGAGGGCCAGAGAGAGGGAGAGACGGAGACTTCAAAGCAGGCTCTAGGCTCTGTGCTGACAGCCTGATGCAGGGCTGGAACCCATGAGCTGTGAGATCATGACCTGAGCCGAAGTCAGACCCTTAACGGACTGAGCCACCCAGGTGCCCCCACACGTTCACTTCTCAAGCGGTTTTCTGTAGTCACCATTCTCTACCCAGCCATGTGTGTGAGTACAGAGCGGCATGGCACAGGTGGTCTCAGAGTTAGGCTGGAACATGAGATCTGTGGTTCTGTAGAACTGCAGGTAATAACCTCTAAGCATCTGCTGAAAAGAGGAGTGTGTGCATTTAACAGTCCATAGCAGTGACCAGCAAGCCCAAGTTAAGAGTTAGTGGTTAGAAGCTAAGAGCTTTGGCTTCTAGTCCTTTATAACCAGCTTAGGTGTGGATTTGGGGTTTCCCTTACTTGGAGCTAGTTTGTTTCTTAGTCGCCAAGTTCACTAAGATTAGATGTACCCTGTGAAGGTTCTTTTTCAAGTCTGTAACTCTGTTGGTCCTTACACTGTGGGATAGGATTTTTTTTTTTTTTTTTAAGTTTGTTTTTTATTTTGAGAGGGAGTGAGCCCAAGTGGGGGAGACCGAGAGAGAGAATGAATCCCAAGCAGGCTTCACGCTGCCAGGACAGCGTGAAGGACAAGCCCCATGTGGAGCTTGAACTCCCCAACCATGAGATCATGACCTGAGCCTAAACCAAGAGTCAGATGCTTAACCCACTGAGCCACTCAGGCGCCCTGTGGAATAGGATTTTTGAATTATGCTACTACTGGAGAATGTTAGTCCTTGCTCCTCGAGCTCAGAGCTGTAAGACACACACACTAAAGGCTGCCCCCCCCCCCCCCCCCCGTGCTGGCCAGGACACCAAGGTGGGGCGGCATCATTTCCTACCCTGTGCCTCCTCCCCCTCCACGCAACATCTAGCATTGACCTCAGTTTCAGCATTTAGGAGTTTATCCAGAACATTCCATGGAGCATTTCCAATGTGGCAGTAGAGAGCTAATTTTCTTTTCTCTCTACCTAGTCCTGGATATAAGCCATTCTTAAACATCATTAAGCCACAAGTACAGAAGTTCAGTGAGCTGACAGAGGAGCAGGTCCAGCCTGAAGCCTTCCAGCCAATAACTGCGGGTAAGACTCCTGAACACACTGGGCCCCGGGCAGAGGAAAGCCGGGGCCCCTCGGGCCATGGAAGCCTCCCCCAGGGCGAGGTCGGAGGCAGTGGTCTGGTCGGCAGGAACGAGGAGGACGCAGCCCGAGCAGAGGAGGAGGAATCCTTTCAAGACGGGACTTACGACTGTTCTGTGTCCTAACGGCAGCGGCGTGCCATCACCACGGGCAGTGTTAACTTGCAGCGGCATGTGCAACTGAGGAAACTGGCCTAGCTGGACGATTTAACCAGGGAGAGAACTCAGAGACTCTGGTAAGGTATTACTGAACTCTAACTCTTTGTCTTCTAAGAAATCTGACTCCATAAAAATGTGATATCAAATCATTTTTCATAAAATTTTTTAAGCTGCAGTGGAAAGTAATAAAGAGCACTGTACAGTTGTACATGAGAATATTTTGATTTTATTCGTAAAGAATGGTAGCTCCTAAACCTTGGGATTGTTTTGCCCTAGACGAGCCTACTTTTTCACTACTTAACAGCTTCTTACGTGTTTTCTGGTTCAGCGTGTGTCCAGACTGCTTTTTAAATTTAAATGCTAAGGTGCTTGCTGTAGCTCATCAGGTACTTGAGCTACCTGTGTGCCCCTTCGGATGGAGAGCACTGGGCTCCGTCATCGGGCCTCCTGAATGGACACCTGCCATGGCACACCGTGTGGCTGTTGTGACAGGGTCGTGCTCCTTGGCCTTTTGTAGCCCATTCAGTCCCAGTCCTGAATTGATGGAAGCTGTGTGCCTGCTCTCTTAGCAAGCTTGATTCCTGCCAGTCCGTGTGGGCAGAGGTCTGGGGGGGTTCTTATCAATTATGCTGTTAGATACCACTAAACTATTTTGTATCCGAGAACTGTATCTTTTTGTGAATACTCTTGTGTAAATATACTCAGAGGCACTGTTCATATTTTTAGGGCTTATATTATAATCTGTAAGGTTTTATGCTGGATTCTGCATGGCTATTCTCACTCTTGGAAGAGAGACAAGACTTGCTTTTCTTTCCAAATCTGAGCAGTCTTCAGAGAAGAGAACAGGTTTATCGGCTTGGTCATACAGTAACGGAAACGGTCACACTGATCATGAAATCAAACAGGTTTTGTGCAAATTAATGTAGTTTCTTATTTATTGCTTTTGTAAATTGAATAAACATGGGACTTTCATGTAAATAGACTGCTGAATCCTGTATTATCACGGCTACTAAAAATTACTATGTGAACAATGCATTCTTCATTGTAACTTTTAAAATATTTTATGTATTTCTAGATAGGACTTAAATGTTAGTTTTCATACATTATGAAAACCTACCTGCATACTCCTATCCTAATTGCTTCAGACTAAACGCATATCCACGGTATGTACTTACGGTTACTTTCTGTCAGTATTAATTTAGATAGCTTGTTTGTACTGTGCAATTTGAACAAAGGAATGCAATGTTATTTTTTACAAAAACAAACTTGTTTATTTTTGTAATAACGATGTATTTGATGTGGACCAAATTCATACCACTATGTAAAACAGCCTCCTTTCTCATAGTGCAATTACAGTTTAAAAATAAAACTTGGTCCTCTATCCTGGCTTTTTAAAGTAAATGGCTGGATACAGTTGTCCTGGCCAGGTTTCCTTCGAAGGGAAACTCAAAAGCATTTTGAAATTGCTTAGTTCAAAGTTCATCAAAGTGTTTTAAATTATTGAGTTTGGTAACTTACTATCATTTACTTTTTACATTACAAGTGCAGTAACGTCACGTCCCCAAACTCCTGAACGGGTGGGATATGTGATTATGGTACCTGCTCTTTCTGGTGCTACTTTATTTAAGCCTTTGTTTTAAACCACCTTTCCTGAATCTTAGGATAGAACAATAATGTTTCCCATGTGAGTACATGCAGCCCAGCAAGAAACCAACCTGAAATTTCTTCTCCTGTCCTAGTCCATTAGGAGGAGAACTAGCATTATTTTTGTGTTTGGTGTGAATATGCGGTCAATAAAAATGATTCACCGTTGTAAACAGCTGTGATCCTCTCAAATCTCTGAATGTGCTGCTGGGTCCGTCCTGCACTCTTACAAGCAGGGCACCAGTAAGTGAACTGTACTCCTGTGGGGAACACCACCAATGAATCTGGTCTCCTAGACTTGCTTTTCCATGTAATAGGAAATGGACGGCCCTAAGGCGGAACAATTGGGAGGTTTACAGAAATCTTCTCTGGTAATTTGTAATAGACTTCACTTTTTTTTTTTAATTCATATTTTTATTTTGCCTTGTTTGGTTCACATGTCAATGTTTAAGCCATAATTTTAACCAATGAATTTCAGTATTCAGTAGAACTATTTGAAGTTTGAATTATTTGCTGATACCAAAACAAGAAGTCATTTGGGTGGGGGTAGAGTCAACGTTTGCTTGTAATTAAAGTTGCTGCTACTTCTGTAATGTGTACTTTTTTTTTACTTGGTAAAGGGCAATAAAACCATTACACGCACTTGTGTTTATTCATCACTCAGGCTGACAGCAAAATGTGTATTTATTAAAAGCCACGGAAATATTCTTTTCATTACGTAATTCCGCCCCATAGAATTTTCCTTATGAAATAACTACAAATCAAGACAGGTTAAAAATATGCAGAATCATTTAGGATAGGAGCATCAAGAGTTGGCAGCATCCTGTATGTCTGACCGCAGAAGTTTGGAAGAGAAATCCATGTTGAGGACATGGAAAACGTCCAAAATGTAATGAAAAGGACTTCCATCAAACAAAATTGCGTAAATGTAGAGGAGACGGGCCACCTGCCTCTAGTAGGTGGGATTAAAGGGGATTCTGACTTCCCTGTTTTCCTAAATCTTTGTTTCTATCGATTTCCCTCTTCTGAAGACATTTGGTATATATGCAGTCATAGAATATATGGCTTTTTCTGTGTGGCTTCTTTCACTTTGCAGGATGGTTTCAAGGTCCATCTTCACATATCCGTGACTTCATCCCTTTTTAAGGCTGAATAGTGTTACACTTCATGCATCTAGTGTATCTGTCCATTCGTCAGTTGAGATATCTGGGTGGTTACCACTTTGTGACTATCACGAATGAGGCTACTGTGAACACTCACATACAGGTTTCCAAGTGGATGTATGTTTTCAGTTTTCCCTGGGAGTGAAAATACTTGGTCACATAACCGGTTTTAATGCTCCGAGGAAATCTTAACCACATTCCAGAGTGCCCGTGCCATTTTTTTACATTGCACTGGCAGGGGAGGTGGGTTCCAGTTTCTCCCATCATCACTTGTTGTTGTGTCTTTGGTTGAGCCATCCGAGTTGTGTGGGAAGCGGTGTCATTACGATGTAGACGTGCATGTTCGTGGTGGCTGGTGGCTCGTCATGTGGCTATTAGCCAATTTCACAGTTGGGTCATTTATCTTTTTGTTGCTTTGCAAGAGTTCTCATGCATTCCGGATACTAGACCTTGATCAGATATGACTTGCAAGTATTTTCGCATTCTAAAGGCTTACCTTGTCACTTTCATGACACTGTCCTTTGAAGCATGAAAGTTGTTCATTTTGGTGAAGGCTCAACTTTTTCTTTGGTTGCTTGTGCTTTGGGAAACCACTGCCTGACACAGGGTAATGGAGATCTGTGCCTGTGTTTTCGTCTAAGAGTTTTGTTGTTGTTTTGGTTTTTTAAATTTTATTTACAGTTTTACCTCCTGCATTTAGATCTTTGACCCATTTTGAGTTAATTTTTTGTGTATGGTATAAAGTGAGGGATCTAACTTGGTTCTTTTATAGGAGGATATTCAGTTGTCCCAGCACCATTTAAATGTTTTTCCCACTGAATTGCCAAAAATCATTTGACTATAAACACATGGGACTTATTTCTGGACGGTCAGTTGTATTATTATATTGATATGTGTTCACACTGTCTTGATTACCGTCCCTACTTTGTAGGAAGTTTTGAATATGGGACTCTTAAAGTTTGTTTTTCAAGACTGTTTGAACTATTATGGGTCGTTGCATTTCCATATGAATTTTAGGATCAGCTTGTCCATTTCTGTGCACGTGCGCACACGCACACACACGAGCTGGGATTGTGTTCAATTTGTGGATCAATTTGGGAGAACTTTCAATCCACAAACGTGGGATTTCCTTCAGCAATGTTTTAGTATCCGGTGTAACAATCTTCTACTTTTGTTATGCTTATTACTAGGTACTTGACTCTTACTGCTACTGTCAAGAGAATTTTCTTGTTACAGAAGTCAGTTGACAGCTGTGTATTGATACATTCCTACAACACTGCTGAATGAATTCATTTATTAAGATCATGTCATCCGTACCTAGAAACAGATTTAATTTGTCCTTTCTAATCTAGATGTCTCTTGCCAAACCGCCCTGGCCCGAGCCTCAGTACACTCAGTGGCAGTAGAGGACATGCTGGTTGTCTTTCATCACACATGATGATGTTAGCGGTGTTTTGTAGAAGTGAACTTCCTCACCCTGATAAAGACAATCAATCAGTTTGCTGAGTGTTTTTATCATGAAAAGGTGTTAAGCTTTGTATCTACTGAGGTGATCATATCAATAGAATTAATAACAACTACCACATGGTGTGGTACTTTGATTTTCCCGGTGTTAAGCCAACTTTTCATTCCTTGGATAAATCCCACTTGGTCATGGTATAGGGCCAAACTGGAAGAAATTTTATTTTTACAAATCAGTAAGGAAGTAGTAGTATCAAAAAAAATCTACACTAATGTACTTCAACGTTAACGAAGACATTTTCTAAATAAAGAGAGTCAGACATACAGAGGCCTAAATGCATTTTGGCTTTATTGGCCCTAAAAGGAGGCAAGGTGTACGATGAGGAAGCATACTCCCATTGTTTCCAAGGGAGTTCACCGAGAAAGCCACATAACTTGCGCAGGGAGCTCTGTTGCGGGGAGTGGCCGGGCCCTTTCCTTGGGTGGAGAGGAGAGTGAGCAGCGGGCCACTGGCTGAAATTTCTTCTGCCCATCCCCACATCCTTCAGCGATTTTCTCGGTATTTCACTGACAAAATATGCTAAGCTAGACGTTTCCATGTTGAACTCTCTGCCCACATGACCCCTTAGGGATAACTGTCCTGTCCACGTGAGCCATCTAGGTCTTTTCAAAGGCCCTGTAGACTTGAAATAACCCTTCAACGATGGGGACACAGAAAAACAATAAGGATCTGTTTTTTCTGTTAAAGATACTAACTAGTTTGTTAAAAAGTTTATTTCAGTAATGTAAGGCAACAATTAATCTCAAGTCAGCGACCAGTGAAAAGAGAAGACAGACATTCTCCCTGCAGCTTCCTGAGTTATCAGCTGGCTATGGCCCCCTCAGTGGTAACATCTTAGAAACCCTCATGCTCATTTATATCAGCTAAACTGTGGGAACAAATACTTCACGCAACAGTCGCTCATCGGTCAGGCACAAGGTAAATTTTAAGCATTTCTTCAAAATCCCAACTCTTCACATTTTCACTGAATGTACAGTACTGGGCTACTTACATTTAAATTGTACAGGAAAGAATGCGTTGGTTAGAATCTGGAAAGACCCTTTCAGAAATGAGTTTTGAATGGTCAAAGAAAACAAGCTCTTTAATCTCAGAGGCCGCTCGCTGACAAACCAGACAGTGTGCTTATGAACAGAGCCACGAGTATCATCTGTACCTAACCATTTCTGGCACTAAAACCATCTGCCCAAATACTAAATGTGCCCTGAGACAAGTGACTTGAAAACCAAAACAAGAGATCCTGTTCACGAAGGAAAATAAAGGCAAAAAGAGAATCATGATTATTGGCAAAAGGGAGTAACCAACCTCCTTCCCAAAGAGAAAAGAATTGTTAAGTAACAATGTCCTTCCTCAATACGGCATTTTGTTTTTTTCCATGTAATCTAAGATTAACCACAGGGACAGAAAATCCGCCCCGATTTTGAAATCTGGCAGGAGCCAGGTTCTCGCAGCACTGAGACTAACGCGCGGCTTCGACGAGGCCCGGGAGCCACACGCGTGCCAGCCAGCAGTGCCGTGAGGGGGTGCCCAGTCAGGGTGCGGGGAGTCACAGACCAGACTCGGCAGGGGTAGGAGCAGCGTGACCGGGCCTGCGACGCACACGTGGGGTGCTCTGTGCGGGAGGAGCGGAGGGACGCTTTGTTCGTTTTACCGGGGCTCTTCTTTAAAATGTCTTTTTGGCCTCTGCTCGCTAACCTCCAGGGAAAAAGGAGAGCTAGCGGAAGTTACCGCTCGTCTGACCAAATCCCTGCAGTGCCACAGCCACGGAGCCGGGGGGACCCGCCGGCACCTGCCTTCTAAACGAAAAGTACCTCCGGGTCTTGGGCCTGCCATGACGCAGGGCCCGAATCCCAGCGGCCAGAGGTTCGGTGGCCTCGCTCCGGCGTGGGCCACGGCCCCCGAGGCCCAGCAAGGCCGGCTCCGCTGGACAGCCTTTGAGCAACTATCCGGACCGAATAAGGACTCCGTTCGTCAATACAGTTATGCCCTGAAGCATGAACCTTGGAGAAGAGAAGATTCATAAAATGCCCAGCCTCTCCTTACTCTCTTCCTACCACGGCAATTGCATGCTCTGGGGACAGAACTGAAGATGTGTGACTGCGCACACGACGTCCTGAACCAGAAGAGCCTCCGAAAACCCAGCAGGAACTGCAGCTGCTCTCGGACTGACAAGGTGGAGAGGGGGGAACAGGGTATCCTGGGCCTCGAGAGCAGCCTCAGACAAGCATCAGAACGATGGTCTTGAGTCCCCAGCACGGCACAGCTCCCCACCTCGGGGCTGGGCTGCGCGGCAGGTGGGGAGGAAGCAGAGCTCTGGGCACGGACCGGGGCCCCCGGAGCCCCCTGCCCGTCCCCAGCCCCTGCCGGAACCGCCTTCTGTACCCCTGGTTCCATCGCAGGGGAGTTCCCACTCTGGGGAACGGCATCCGAGCTACCCTCCACAGCTTCGACTGGAAACGTCATTTGTCTAGTGAACAGTGAGCGGGCTCACGGTGCCCTCTACACCTTTCATGATTCTAAGGGGAGAACTACTGAAGTGGTTGGTTGGCTTTAATCCTTAAGGTCACAGAAAAGGACTTCCATGTGTAGTGGTAGTACCCACATGTGCTTAAGTGCCAGAAAATTGGCGTCTTCAAGTGTCAAAAAGGCCATGCGTCACTACCCACAGCGCTAGGTGTGTGGCCCTGAAGAGCATCTGCCCCCAAGCTCTGAAAAACCACAGACTTACAATCTGAACATGTGCTCATGAAAAATCATGGACTTACATTACAGATACCCACGTGACGCAGGGAGAAAGGACGTCACGGGGGGTATCCCGCCAGGCATGTGCTTTGAGCCCGTCCAGAAGATTAAAACACAAAGAGACTGTACGTGCACACCCAGGCTGAGGGAAACGTCCAGTCTGGGAACTTGTCTTTCAGGGCATCCAGCTGGGAGGACCTCTTCTCTTCACCAGACAGGTGGTGGGCAGCAATGGCCACGGTGACCATTCCTTCAGGCCGTTCTTCCAAGACCTAGCAGAGAACAGTTGGCAGTGCTTTAGTTCTCTGAAGGCAGAATCAGCCCGGTTTTTACCACGTACCACCCGGGAGCCTGACGGTGACCGCGGCAGAGCTGGCAAATCCCCACCTGCACTTCTATCCAGAACCGCCACGCAGAGGCCTGGAGCCCATGGGAGTAAAATACGAAGTAGTCCCCGCCTTTACTGGTGACGGGGGTGCCGTTGCCAAGAGACCACTGAGAAAGCGTTGACCCTTCGTGGGTGCGAATGTAGAACGACATGTGGCTTGGTCCTGAAAGGTAAGAGGAACAGTCTTTAAAAAGGCATCGGGAGAAGCAGTTAATTCACCACCAAGCCAGACTATGAAGGCACACCTTACGTCACTTGAAAGATTCTCGCTCCAGACCTAAGGGAGGTCTCCTGGCTCGGATGTTCTGCGTGTGTCAACCGGGGTAAGTAATGAGGTAGGTCACGAGGCACAGCAGAAATTTACAATGACAAAACCTGTCATCTAAACATACAAGAACCTAGCACTCGCGAGGCCTTCAGAAATCCAGAGAATAAGCTTCATTTAACCAAGAGGGAACTTCAAAAACTACAGCAGAAGAACGGACAGTGAGGGTTTTAACCTGTCCAGACACATTTCGAAGGCAACATCCCAGTGAGGGTGGAAGACCAGTGTCCAGTGGGGGACGTGACCGACACCAAGAGGGAGCCGGGGAAGCTGGGTAAGCAGACTCAGAGCCCGCGAGACACTGACACAGACAGTAAAAGGTTCCACAGTTATGGGGTCAAAGGAAAATACACACTTTCCTACATCATATGTGGTCAAAACAAAACTATACACTTTCCTAAAATGCCAGAAAATATTTTAAAGAGCAAAGATGACCGATCACACAAAATGGAATATAGCAAAGCACAAAATATTGGAACAAAGTTGAGACCAAATGCATCAGTCATAGAAATAAATGTGAAAAGGGGGAAAAAAAATAACTCGGATTATTCAAAAAACACGAGTTTCAGAAAGGGTAAAAATGAATAAACAAAGGGGTTTCTGGCTAGCAATTTTTAAAAAAGACCTCTTTGATATCAGGGGAAAAAACCAGGATTCAAGACAAAAGCACTAAATGTAAAAAGGCACTTTTTAATACTAAAAGTTTTAATTCACAGTGACACAAAATTGTGAATCCTGTGCATTAAGTAACAGCAACTACTTGAAGCAAAATACAGGAGATGCAGAAAGATACCTACGTATATAGGAAGACTACAAATAGGAAACTAACACTCCACTGTCAGTACAAGACATCAGTTGAACAAAAAAAGATCAGTGAAGTGGATTATATGGATATATATACACATCAAACTTTACAAGCTGGTAACACAGAACGTATCTTCTAAAGGGGACACAAAATACTCAAAATATTAACTTAGGAAGGAAAGCATCCATTTCATAACACATATTACAAATAACACAAAATAGCTTTCTACCTGAAAATTAAAAGACTTCTAGGAGAAAAAGGAAATGTGAACAAAAATCACAAGTTTTTTGTAAACAATGAAAAGCAGTGATAAGAGGAAAATCCATAGCAATAAACATTTTTTTATAAAATAGTACAACAAAGAGAACAGAAAACAAATATTACAGATAAGAAGAAATCAAGAAAGTAGAGACCAGAAATAAACAGACCTAACTTAATTCTAAAAATTAGATTTTTTTATTAACAACTCTACTAGCTAACTTGGTTAAGAAAGAGATGGGAAGGGGAGTGGAGCTGAGAAAACACAAGTATACAAAGAGAGTAAGAAAAATAAACAGAAGAAATGTTTAAAATCACACGTTGACTACAAGCAGACCTCTGTACTATTAAATTTGGAAACCCAAATGAAATGTGGATACTTTTTAAGGAAAACAGATTACTGTACTCTCTTCTACTGTACAAGAGAGAGATAAATCTTAGATGAATTTCCCAAGAAAAAGTTAGGAAACTACCCCCCCACGAAAAAACACCATGCCCAGATGGTTTCAGAGAGGAATTTAAGCCAACTTTTTAGCCAGTTCAAATGCTTCCTAAACTGTTCCAAGGCACTGGAAATTAAGGAAGACTTACCATTTTTATCACGTTTACACATTTATGGGTAACATATAACTAAATCTGATTAAAGAGAACCAAAAAAATAAACAGACGTGGACCAGTATCAGGAGTATTAACAGAAAGTATCTAAATTGTAGCACACAAAATCCAACATCACATTAAGAAAATAAGCCATAACCTAGTGGAATAAACCACGTTAAAAGACCCAAGGAAGAAAAAACCCTAGACAGATGCTTTAAAAAAAAAAGCCTTTTCTAAAATTAAAACCCAATTCCTTATAAAAACATTCAAGAAATGACAGTTGATAAACGCTTGCTTAACAGGATACAAAATATACACCCCAGGCCTAAGGCTAGTCTCTCACATGTTGGGAAACACATGAGACCTGTGCTCTAAGTAAAACAGGGACGCTTGCTCACTACACCCACAGCTGCTCCACACCATCAGCCACTTAGACACATCAGTTATGGGCCTGGGAACTGGTAAAGAAAGAAAGACTATTTGCAGTCGATACGCTGTAGTCAATAAGCTATATACTTGGTCTGTTTTTGTAAGGCTAACAGGCTAAGAATGTTTTTTAAGTATTTAAACAGTAGTTAACATATCAGGGAAATACAAATCAAAACCACACTCAGGTATCACCT